GAAATTTGACCGTCAACAATTGACGACTCCGCTGGGGACCGAACCCATAATCTCTAGTTCATACATTTGACCCTCGACAACGAAGAAATAGTCAGCGACCATGCCTCCGAGGAGAAGAGATCTCAAATGACAAAGCACAAAGGAGACGAATTTATTGTCCATCGACGAATCCTTTAGGCAGAGTCCCCCAAATCTTTACATTCCTTTTCGTAAGGGACACAAGCTAGTTAAATAGAAAAATGGCATTTATCTCAACAGCATAAAACCCAATACTCACACAAAACGGTGTAACTCATCTACTCACTTAATGACGTAACCTCTATTTTTCAATGGTTAAAAGAGGCTAAAATCAAGACTTGTTACAGATATATGTTCCTATCAGTATATGAACAATTCTGTCTTTGCTGGAAATTAGTAGCGTCAATTAATTAGTTGAAATTCATTAATGCGACGACTTCTTGATTCTATATCTTGTGGATTAAATTTCCTGGCTCTTTTGTAATTGTATGTATGGCATGCTAGCTAGATCTTCCAAATTAACACGCACTAATCATGCATTAATCAATACCCCTTCACAAATCCACGACTCAGATCACCAGTTTAATTTTTAGTATCTTAAATACTATCTAATCAATAGTGTTATGTAGTGTCATTTAATGAACTTAAACATCAATGCCTAGACAAAAAAATATTTTAAATTTTTTAAATAATGTGGCAACATATCATTGGTTAGAGACCATTTAAAATATCAATATTGGACAGATTTGAATCCGCATATCTCTGTACATACATTAATTCTTCAATCACACCCTAAATTGTATCTTATTACATTTGATAGCTATAAACCTTTATTCGTCTTAATATTAGGTTCCAAACTAGCTTATATAATGCAGTGAGTGGGAGATCACATGAATTGTATACAAGAAAAGAGCCGACAACAAAAATTCTAATTCACAAGATGAATAATTTACTGAGAATTATTTCAAATTACATGTCTAGTTTCGATGTCTCAATTAGTGTCTTATCAATTGAATTGTGGCATATTAATTAAAAAGACTTGAAATATCTTTTAACTCACTTTTTTTCATGTTTTAATGTTTAGATATTAAATGAAGTATCATAATGTGATTAGTTAAACATTAATTGAGACATTAAAAATTATACACATGATTTGAGTCCATATTAATTCGCATAAGATCAAAACAGAAAGGAAATCAAGACGATAATAATTTATGACAGAGCAGCAGCCCGATCGAGGAGCCTTCGGATATCTTGTCATACACTTCAAAAAAACTGGTCTTACCCCTATTAATTCCTTGGTGACATGTGTAGATTTGGCCATACGACTTTTGACAGTCTAATTTGAATTTGTATTGGTAGGATAATGAAATTGGTTTTGCTGTGTAAACTAGTGGTTCTAATTCAATCGATCCTCCACGCAAAGTAAAATTAAGAAAGATTTACATTAACTGCTCTCCGGTTTCTATCAATTTTACAGTGTCAACCCTTTAATCAAACTTATTTATTTACGGTCACATTCTACTAAGCACTAAATAAGCTGTTAAATTTTTAGGAAAAATGAGAAAGTACCACAATAATTATGTGAACAGTTGATATTTTGATTTGAACTAATCTCTATTGTTAAATACACAAGGAGTCTGAGAGATATGAAGTTTTATGTGATACTTGTTGGAGCAAAATTTCGTCCAACACTTATCCAGTGTCTCTAGACTAATAATTTGGATTGAATAAGTAAATTATCTAAGGAAATTGGAAGAACCCAAAGAACCTCTGAAGGAATAACAAAAATAAAATGATGACAATCACAAGACAATTGTATTCAGAAAATGAGTGTCTGTCTTTTCCTCTCAAATTGAGGAAATTTATAGTACATTAGGATTGAGAGAGTTTAATTCTCCCATTAATTCGAGAGTTTATTCTCTCCTAATTACAATAAGGCTCTTCACCTTTTTGTGAGTAAAAACTGATAAATAATCAATGAGAATTAACTTTCAACCATTCAATGTCTTCAATTAGCGTCAGTTACTTCACTTGATAACATCACGTGACCTTTGAACTTTCGGCTCCAGCGAACTTGGGCTCAGGAGAGCTTGGGCTCCGGCAAATTTGGGCTCCGGAGAGCTTGGGCTCGGGAGAACTTGGGCTCCGACGAGCCTTTGGGCTCCGGAGAGCTTAGGCTCGGGAGAGCTTGGGCTCGGGAGAGCTTGGGCTCCGACGAGCCTTTAGACTCCGGAGAACTTGGACTCAGAAAAGCTTAAACTCGAACGAACCTTTAAATTTATTACACATTTAATGATTCTGAAAATGCCGCCCAACAATACTCTTTTTATCCATCGTGGTTGTTGCAATTAAGTGTGTGTCTCGGATTGCAAATAAATAGAAGATATTTTTTTTTTTGTTGGAGGTACACGGCAAGAATTCAAGACTGCAGCTTGGAGTCTTTGGTGACGTGGCACTAACAGCTGTCATATTAAAATAAAGGCTGGCTCCAGTTTGATATATAAAAACTAGTTTGTTAAGCAGTTTTACTATAAGAGAGAAAAAACCACTTTTGTAACAGACCATTTAGAGGAAAAGATCTGAGAGAGAGAAATTCTCCTGGGGAATTTCTCGGTTTGTATTTGGGGCTCTTGGGCGTTTGTTTCCTGGGAATTTGCTGAGAAATTGAGACGCTGTATTTGTAAGAGTTCCTGATAATCTTTTCATGGTCTGTGGATTTTGGTGTATACTCATTGACGAACTAGTGGATTGAGCTAGGGAGATATCCCTGCCTTGGATTAGGATCCGCAAGGATCTGAACCAAGTAAATCACTTGTCTCCTTCTCTGTTTAATTTCTGATTTCTGTTTTGCTTTTCTTCGCGGTTCTCTGTTTTTTGTTTTCTTGTTCTTGGTGCAGATTCAGGGATAAATTCCTACAGTGGTGAATTTCCATAACAGCAAAAAATAGATGTAATTCTCATATTGAAGATAAAATACTATAATCTTGTGTGTTTTTATTTTTGTTTCTTATTGCGATCAAAGTGAATAGGGGTGCTCACTAATATAGTACTGAGTTGAATATAGTAGCGAGTTGACCTTTTGTTGATTGAATTAGATTCATTAATGCAAACTTTCCCTTAATTTTTGATGATTTTACTAATCTATACGGAATCACCATCAAAATATTTTTGTTAATCAATACTAATATTTCACCAGCGAATTGATCATCAAATTCAAAATTTAAAGGAAAATATAGAAAATGAACATCGCACAGAATTTGCTAATTAGGCATGGATCTTGCAGATCATGATATAGCAGGGGTCCCAAATCCAATCGCTTAATCTGGTTCTTGCTAAATCAATATAAATTTCCCTGAAAAAGATAAAGTTAGCCTAAATTCTTTAAGTGAGAAATACTCCAAATGCTCACATATTCGTGAAAGCTAAATTGAAGAGATGCATTGACTGATTTGCGCATATCAATTTGTTCATATACTTATTATTTAGGTCGCATCTCTTTCTAATTAATGAAGATCTCAACATTTGCATGAGAATTTGATTTCTTTTCCTTTGTTTGTTTCTCGTTTTGGGCATGTTTGACATATGATTTCTTCACTTCAATGAGTTTGCATAGGCTTAACATGACGTGACTTAAATAACTCAAATAATAAAATTAAAAAAAGGGCTTGGAGCACCATTAGTTCCTTAACATGACGTGACTTAAATAACTCAAATAATAAAATTAAAAAAAGGGGTTGGAGCACCATTTGTTTTAAACAGTGCAATTAATAAAAAGCGGATTCCGTATGTATGGTATTGGACACCATTCGTCCTGTAAATAACGTCCTAAAATATGTTACGATTATATTCCTTTTAAATGATTACTAATTGAACAATTAGTGACTTTGTGAGAAAAAGGGAAGGTTTCATTTAAGGAAAAAAAAAAAATTCTACGTGAGAGTATCTTAAATGACCTATGTTTTTTTTTTTAATCTAAAAAAAAAAGAGCCTTTATGTGCGAACACTATTTAACTATTTAAATTTGGCAATTTGGTATCTATTCTTTCTTTCCTGACAATTGAACCCTTCAATTTGAAAATCTTTACAATTAAGGACCAATCAAAAACAACGTTTATTATTATTATTATTATTTGACGATTCTGATCATGTGAATCGCACATGAGCGTTTGTTGTAGGTAATGAATGTCATTTCTCATTATCTCCGTCTATTAAGACAATAACCACTAAAAATTAAGAGTTGTTTATCACAATTGATTATTTTCGAACACATTAGATGATTTATGTGTGCAAAACCCAACAAATGGGGTGAGAAATAACTCCTCAATAGAGCTTATATGTGCATCACATCATCAAAATCTTCAAAAAAAATGTAATTTTTATTGGTTTTTAATTGTAAAAATTTTCAATTTGAAGGGGTCAATTGTCAGAAAAAAAAAAAAGAATTAAATTACTAAATTTAAGAAGTTGAGGAGCGGATGTAGAAAGAAGCCAAACAAAAAAAAAACCAAACAAAAAAGAAACCTATGACCCGACAATGAGACAAGTAGCTTTTTAGCTTTTCTCATATTGCACGCCATCTAAGTTAACACAGAGCTCTTAATTCGTTTCCATTATAAGGGAATCATGACTCTCTAATCTATGACACATCAGTAACTAAACGCCAAACGCTAACATGTAAAATGGTCCCATTCGTGTTCAATTTCCTCGTACCAAAGTTTCTATATATTCCTACTTCATTGAATTGTGTCTGCCTTTTGCTTTTATCCAACTTTCTCTCAATGATTGATGCATAGACGCTAGATCAGAGACCCAGGAAATTCAATCCAGATCATGATCACAATCTTTTCTAGGCACCAATTCAACACAACAGAAAAGCTTGCACAAGAAAATTTTGCAACAAAAAACAAAAGGCCAAACAGAATATTTACAAACTTAGCCTCTATGAAGAGAAAGAAAAAAAAAATCTGAAAATTAATTAATCAAGACCTCTCCCGTTCAAGGAATTTGCTCATCCACTCCAAATTCATCGGTCCTTCATCGGAGAAATCAAAGAAATTGTTAACGTCAAAGTCGTTGGCGGCCACGTTTGATTCTTGATCACTTATTCCTTTGGATGGATTAATCTCTTCTAATTTTGTGACTTCTAGATTTTCGAACCTCCTTAATTGGTTTCTGGAGCCTTGTGATCTAGTTGTCGAACAAGCTTCACTTTGTTTCTCCTTCTGGCTGTGAATTTTTTTGCTCAAATGAGAATTCCAGTAGTTCTTAATCTCATTATCTGTTCGACCAGGCAATCTTCCCGCTATCAAAGACCACCTGGAATAAAATATGCATAGTATACATATCTAGCTATACTTGAAAAATTAAACTATGTATGGAATTAAGTAATTGGTAACCTGTTGCCTAAAAGCTTGTGAAGCCTAAGAATCAAATCCTCTTCTTGGTCAGATATATTGCCTCTCTTAATGTTGGGTCTCAGGTAATTCAACCATCTAAGCCTGCAACTCTTACCACATCGATTCAGGCCTGAATATCAAATAAAAACAGATACCCAATTTAATAATTACAAGCTAGCACTTGATCAAACATATTACGCCTATTATTCTATTAGTATAGTTATATATATATATATATATATTATACTGTAAATATATACGTACCTGCAATGGTTGCAATTGTTTTCCACTTTTTAGCACCATGAACTGCAATAACCTCAGCTAGTTTTCTATCTTCCTCGGGTGTCCATGCTCCCTTGTTGACTTCCTTTCTAGTCGACATGGTAATGACCTTTTTTCCTTCCATGATCAATGGCTTCAAATCTGTCTGCTTTAACATTTTAGCCATTCGATGATCACTAGCTGAATTCTCCTCCACTTTAGCCATTCAATCGCAAGCTATAAGCTGACTAATACTCGCACCTAAGTGTAGAAGTAGAGAGAGAGTGAGAAATGCTTACAAGTAGTACAAGTAAAGCTACCGTTCTTGGCGAGGAGGAAAACTCAACTACCGCTTATATATATACACACACATATATAATATATATATATATATATATATACGAGGTTTAAACAAAAGTGATCAACAAATAGGATGATAAGAGCTTAATGACTGAGGATCAACAAGAGAGTGCTATAAAGTTTGTACAGATCGCTAGACACTGATTCAAAGGCTGCTAAGATATTATAAAAGGTTTTTTTTTTTTTTTTTTGGGTGAAGAGGCCTACAGATTAACTAAAAGAGTTAATATTACAACTTGTACACTTATAGTGCGCATACACCAGCAAGCTTTTTTTAGTGAAAAAAGACAAATAATAAATTAATTAATGTGACAAAAGCCATGCAATATGTCTGAAAAAATTGCTAGGATTGGTGGCTGGGTTAAACTAATCAGATGCCCATGTAAGAGAGGATTTGTCATTTAGTGTTGCTATATATATGGTTGTTTTGGTGATGATAGTAATTAGCATGTGCAGAATATTGTAAGTACAGCAATTGGGTCACATAAGAGCAATTTCAATTATACTAGTTATTTTATATTTTTAATTAAAATAATTAATAATTTAGTTAGAATTTCATTTTTCTTCGCTCTAACCATTAGCTAAATGGTTAACTGTTTTAAAGAATCTATTTCACGTTAACTAAACATAGCTACCAAAAAAGGGCTAGTCATTTAATTTTTTGTATTATTTTATTCTTTCAAACCATGATAAATACAAATGTTCTTTCTAAATTTAATAAAATTATTTATATTTTTAAACTCAATAAATATTAAAATAATTTATTATTTAGCTAAAATAGAGAATATAATTAGAGTGGCCACCTAAAAATTATTAGTTAAAATAACTTTCTAACTATTTTAATTAAAATTTAGGCAATGCTAAATGGATAATAGACAATGAGAAATATTAATACGTAACTAACTTTAATTCCAACTTTTTAATACTAATATATATATTTATATGAATTCGTATTTTTAATTGGTAAGTGTTTATTGAATTGTTGTCTTTAAAGGAAAAAGTATCACGTCAAAATATTTTACGACAATTTGCCGCCACGTATGTACAAAAAAATTGAGATAAAAGCTAAATCCGTACGACTACTTAGAGGATCATAATATCAGGAGTTCTCATGTCTTGATAGAAGGTTGTCTTAGGAACTCTATATATCTATCTATATCTATATCTATTTATACTACATTATTAAGGAGAATGGGTTTCTCCTTTACTGCCAACGGAGGGTTCTCTTCTTTACTTATACGTTTACTTATTATTATTATTATTATTATTATGATTATTATGATGATGATTATTGTTAACGGTGGATTTTCGTCAACAATTATTATTATTATTGGGTCTCCTTTTCCTCTCTTTCGATTTTTTCTTTTTCTCTTTTTGTCTACTTTTTTTTTTTTTTTTTGAACTTTTAAGAACAAAGTGACACAACCTCTATTTTTCAATGGTTAAAAGAGGCTAAAATCAAGGCTTGTTACAGATATATGTTCCTATCAGTATATGAGCAATTCTGCTTTATAAAATTACCCTTTGACATTACCCTACCAAATCCGCTAATGCTCATTAAAATTCATTTATTGGGAAAAAAACAAGGAGACAATGTTCAAAGGTACAAATTAGGTTGCATGATATCTTAATATAAAGAGTTAGGTGGAAACTTTATTATATAAATTAGCTTAGCTATGTCTTAATTTGCTGGAAATTGGTACCGACAATTAATTAGTTGAAATTCATTAATGTGATTGTGACGACTTCTTGATTCTGTATCTTGTGGATTAAATTTCCTGGCTCTTTTGAAATTGTATGTATGGCATGCTAGCTACATCTTCCAAATTAACACGGACTAATCATGAATTAATCAATACCCCTTCACACATTCAAGACTCAGATCACCAGTGTCGTGTCATTTAATGAACTTAAACATTAATGCCTAGACAAAAAATATTTTAAATTTTTTAAATAACGTGGCAAAATATCGTTAATTAGAGACCATTTAAGATATCAAAATTGGACAGATTTGAATCCACATATCTCTCTGTACATACATTAATTATTCAATCACACCCTAAATTGTTTCTTATTACATTTGATAGCTATAAACCTTTATTCGTCTTAATATTAGGTTCCAAACTAGCTTATATAATGCAGTGAGTGGGAGATCACATGAATTGTATACAAGAAAAGAGCCGACGCCAAAAATTCTAATTCAGATTAAATTTATTCACAAGATGAATAATTTACTGAGAATTATTTAGATTCAAATTACATGTCTAATTTTAGATGTCTCAATTAGTGTCTTATCAATTGAATTGTGTCACATTAATTAAAAAGACTTGAAATACCTTTTAACTAAGTTTTTTTCATCTTTTAATATTTAAATATTAAATGAAGTGTCATAATGTGATTAGTTAAATACTAACTGTGACACTAAAAATTATACACATGATTTGAGTCCATATTAATTCGCATAAGATCAAAACAGAAAGGAAATCAAGACGATAATAATTTATGACAGAGCAAGGAGCCTTCGGATATCTTGTCATACACTTCAAAAAAACTGGTCTTACCCCTATTAATTCCTTGGTGACATGTGTAGATTTGGCCATACGACTTTTGACAGTCTAATTTGAATTTGTATTGGTAGGATAATGAAATTGGTTTTGCTGTGTAAACTAGTGGTTCTAATTCAATCGATCCTCCACGCAAAGTAAAATTAAGAAAGATTTACATTAACTGCTCTCCGGTTTCTATCAATTTTACAGTGTCAACCCTTTAATCAAACTTATTTATTTACGGTCACATTCCACTAAGCACTAAATAAGCTGTTAAATTTTTAGGAAAAATGAGAAAGTACCAAAATAATTATATGAACAGTTGATATTTTGATTTGAACTAATCTCTATTGTTAAATACACAAGGAGTCTGAGAGATATGAGATTTTCTGTGATACTCTTTTTATACATCGTGGTGAGTTTTCATAACAGCAAAAAATAGATGTAATTCTCATATTGAAGGTAAAATACTATAATCCTATGTGTTCTTAATCTTGTTTCTTATTGTGATTTTATTGCTCTCAGTAGTTTAGAAAGGTGTCTAGTTCTTAGAAACTCTGATATGACCTTGCCTTCCCCAATGCTCACAACACCACGCCCGCCAGCCCCGCGCCCTAGGGTTTCCCCTCGTGTGACTCTCACCCTACTTTATTGCATCCAGAACTGTATTGTACCCAACTATTGATGATTTAGGAAACAATATCATTGTCTAAATTATTTATTAAAGACCCAACATATGATGACAGTCTAAATGGAGATAAAGAGTCCAATTACGGGGATTTGAACTCAAGACCTTTCACTTTGATACCGTGTTAGTTTATTAATTCATCCCAAAAGCTTAAACTATTAAGATGTGGGCCAACAATAGTTTTATACTTTTAATAAATACAATAAAGTAGATAGTCAACATATATAAACAATTTGCTCAAGAAATTCAACATAAACAAATATCAGACTACATTAATCTCCTTCTCTAAATTTGGTTAATTGTTAAAAGTACGGGAATTGACTCACTGATCTCATTGTCACTGCCCATAAACGACGACATGGCAACCAAATTCATATTTTAGTTCAAGTCCAAGACTCCAGCAAATAAGTCATCTAAAGCGTGAATATGCGTGCTAATTGATTATACATTCCATTATATTATTAATCTGAATCGCTGTTATTAATAAGAAAAGTCGTCATGATCTTCATGGTTAATATATATATATATATATAACATACGGCAATAGATATTTTTCAGCAAATATTGAAAGATATCGAATCTGATTAATTATGTATTTGGTATAAACTTCAATGAATGTCCCATGACATCGAATCGGATTATGTAAGTCATTGATATGATCATTCACATATTAATTGAGTAGTATTAGATGACCATACAAGAAGACATACGTAAAAGAATTTTTTTTTTTTTTTTTTTAAAAAGAATATATATTAACACCCTTTAAAACATAAAAAATAATATCAACAGCAAGTTTTGTATGTCTCAAGCCTTTTCATATAATATAACCTAATCGATCTTCTACAAGGTCTTGGCGTAGTTAATTAATTTAAAACTTATCCAGGATTTTGAATCAAAGAATTCAAGTGGAACAAGTAAAAGAAACCGAGGCCTGCCATTAAAAAATGAAGGAAAAAAAAAAAAAGAGAAAGAAAGATCCAATTTTTTTTATTAGTAAATTGATAAGGAACATATATTATATATGAACAATTGATTGAAATACCTCAACTGAATTGCACCGAACTAATTATCCAATCCAATGTCCATTCTACCCTTTTTCTTTATAGAAGGAAGGAACCAAAAGAAAGCGGAATGTTTTGAGTTTTGAGGCAAGAAACTGCAACTATGAAGATATTACTAACGAAGGAGATAACATATTAAAAGTCTTGTTTTAAAAAATATATATAATATTTGTGAGATTTCACGAATAATTGGGTAAAGAATATTGGAATCTAAAGTTTTTAACCGATATTGTACGGGCTATATATCAGTGTTCCTTTAAAGACCGCCAAGGCTGCTCTTGAGGTTGATTTAGGACATTGCGCATATTGCTCGTTGATATTTAATTATCTTTTCAATAATTAAGTCATAGAAGTTTGTTTTTCTTATTTTTCTTGAAAATGAAAAACTTGCTCCACCAAAAAAAATAATAATAACAACAACAACAACAACAACAATAATAATAATAATAATAATAAAGCCATGCATTTTGCCAAATTTTTTTCATATGTTGGACGTTATAGCTAGTAACAACTAGGGAGTGTGACACGTACCAAAAGGCGCGTATTGATTAGTAACAACGAAATGAAGCCCAGACGGAAATTATCAAAACACCTAAACAAAAAACAAATAAAGGAATAAGAAGTTGAAGGCAAAATGGTAAAAGTAAAAGTGAGAGGACATACACAGAATTTTCTAAAAAGTGAGGGATAAAAAGGACCAGACAATGTTTAATGAATAGTAAAAGGACTGCCTTCTGTAGTATATTGTATAATTTGCACAATACGTCTGAGATGGTGGAGAAACCTTCTGAATCAAGTAGGAAAACTGTGAATATTAGTCAAGAATATAAAGAATGCCCAAATAAACAGATACCCAGGAGATATTAGAAAAAAGTTACATTTTTTTTTTAGCATGTGACATGAAGAATTAAATACACACCTCATTAATCACCTGGTGGCTTATGTTAGTTTGTTCGGTTGCATTTTTGAGTTATGGTGATTTGAGTATAGATTTTGAGTTAAATTTGAGTTGAAGTTGTAACTTGAGTTTGTGTTTAGATGTGCACATTTGAGTTATGATTTGAATTGAGAATCTATTTGAGTTTATATTTAAGTGCGTCAAAACTTGAATTTGTATTTATATAGTATTTTAATAAAAACTCAATGGTGGTGAAAAATTTTAATAGGATATTTGAGTGGGACTTTATTCGTCTCTTCGTTGTGAACGCATAGAAAAAAAATTGTCTCAATCAGAATTAAAATAAAAAAATTATAATGTTTTTAAGAATAGAAAAAATATTGTTTATTAACTTGAGCTTAAGTTTAAACGCTTGAGTTGAAGGAGAAACTTGTATTCAGATTTTAGTTTCAAACTCAAATTAAAACTCGAGTTAAAACTTATGTTCAAATTTAAATTTTATAAACAAACATAAACTTAAATAAAATTATAACTTAAATTCAAATTTTTTTAAAATTTTACTTCAAAAAAAACAAGCCCTTAGCATTTTCCCTTCCAACCAGAGTGCGAACTGCGAAGTGGGATTTGTGGCTTGTGAGACTTGGACTAGAGAAAGCAGTGGAAACAATGTTGAGCCAGGCTCAGCTCTTCAATTTCAACTGTGAAGCCCCAGCCCACTTATTGCCAGTGATCCATTATAAAGCCCGCATAATAGAGCCCAAGCAAGCCTTCTATCCACGTTTAGTTTTTTTGTTTTTTTGTTTTTTTGTTTTTTTTTTTTTAAGAATAGTTGGCACTATTGGTCTCTAAATTTTGTGCATTACGTCACTTTTGGTCCCTAAGTTTTAATTTTGACAAATTACTTTAATTTGTGACCATTTTGGTTCTTTCATACTAAAATTTGCAAATGACACTTGGAACTTCTCACAGAATGCAGATAATCAAAGACAAAGCCAAATTGCCAAAACCCAAGCATCGCAGATCGTCTGAATTTATACTTTAAAAAATATTTTGATCTGTAAAAGTAAAACCAAACAAAAGAAATTCTTCAGGTGCACATCTAGTTGTATTTCTGCTTTAGTTACCTCTCTTAGTCTTCTCTATAATAAAAATAAAAATAAAAATAAAAAAATAACCGCACATGTACATATATATGTACCATGTATGTATTGTAAAAGAGAACTATCAAATAATTAAAAAATACTATTCTCATTTTTTATCACACTATAATCTTAGCTTTTAACATACTATTACGCCTCGTTAAATTCACTGATTTAAGTTTTCAATTCGAACTGAGATGTGATTTTATGTGAGAACTTTTAACTGTAGCAGAAAAAGTTAAATGTGACTTTTTATAAGAGCTTTTAACTATAGCAAAACTAGAATTGAAAATTCGAATCCGTGAAATGAATGAGGTTTTAATATGTGGTTTTTTTTTTTTTTTTGCTTCAACTATTAATATGTGGTATTTTACATCACGATTGATATTTTTCTTTAAAATTCTTGGAATAAAAAAATCTCTTGCCTATCATCCTTTGCCGCGAAAAAACAATGCATTATGTACGGAAGTATAGTTATAGCATTACATTACATACCAAAATAAAAAAATTTAAAAAAAAAAAGAAAAAAAAAACAAAGTAAAGACTCATTTATTTTATTAATTTAAATTTAAAATTTAAATCTTATTAAAGTAAAAAGGCTTTTAAAAATAATAATATTTAATTTTTTAATTATAATTTTCACAAAAAAATTACATCTGAACTCAAATTAAAAATTTAAACAAATTAAAAGTCCGTACTAAATTTCACCGAAAATTTGACCAGAGTTTGTACTAGATTTGGCTTCTCTTCAGTCGGTTTTCAATTTATTTTATTTTTTCGAAAAAATAAATGGAATTGTTTTTCTTCTCGTCCATACTATGTCTCTGTTTATGTCTATTATGCGTGGCCACCTCTGCAAAAATCTGAGGAAAAGAGGAGGAAGGGGCACAAAACCCAAGACTTTCAAGACAAAAACAGAAACAGAGCTGAGAAAATAAAGACGAGAGGGTGCTTTGTAATTTTTTTCAAATCTTTTTTGGGTTCACATATAAATAATACATGCATATTAGCCTCAGGGGGGGGGGGGGGGGGAGACAAAAAAAAC